TCCCCGAGTCCCTGCGCAGGGCCGGAGCCAGAGCGCGGCCCGCGGAGCAGCCCGGGGTGCTCAGAGCAGCGGGTGGGTTCCCCCGCAGGTCCCAGGGCTTCCAGACCCGGGGGGGGGCATCGTCACGGCTTTAGAAAACCTTTCCCCCCTCCCCACCCCTGCCTGCTTTGCTAAACTGTTCCGCCGAGTATTTTTATAGCGGAGCATCTCCCGCAGAGCTTGTGACCTGCACCCGGGCCTGGGCCTGGAGCAGCTCCGTCTTCTACGGGCACAGTCACATGGCAGCTGGTCACGCTGCTGCTTTCCGTCATCCTGAGAGCCTTGGAGTTCTCCTCCGTGTTTTTCAGTGTTTTGGTGCTGCAGCCTGCCCCGGGGTGTGAGCAGCCCCTGAGCTCACATGAGCAGCCGTAGGGGCATGGGGGACCCAGGGCAGGGCACTCTCTGCCCCAGGGCCTTTGGGGGTCCCAGCAGCAGCCGGCTAGTCCAGGGGAATTCCAGAACGGGGCCCACAGCAGACACAGAACAATCTGCTTCCCAGCAGCCAAACACCCCCCTCAGCTGGGGTTAACCCTCACAAGGCTCGATACCCACATTCTCCAGGACTTGTGGCCCTTCCCCTCCAGCACTCACCGAGGTCTCTGTTTCATCCTGCAGCAGGGAGTTCCACGGCTGGATCCAAGTACGCTGAATTATTTCTTCCTCTGCTCAAACTTGCTCTTTTTGGTTTCAGTACCTGTTCCCTTTTTTCTTGCGTTATGACTAAGGGAAACTCCTGTCAGGTTGCTTTGCTGGAGGAGCAGTGGCTGGGTTTGCAGTCAGCACTTTGCTGACATGCCCTGTGTTATATTTCTTGCAGTCAAACTCCCATTCTCCCCTCCGACACACCTGGCCATCCTTCTTTCTCCTCTCTTCACCATTCCCCTTTCTTCTCATTCTCGCTCACTCACTTTTACTGTTCTCCCTCACAAAACAAAGCAGCACCGGGCACCCCTGGGGTCCCTCCAGCAGAGCTTTCAGCGAGCAGAGCACGGGCATCCGCTCGGCTCGATGCGATGCTTTCACCTTCCTAAGCATCATATATTGGAGAGAACCAGGAAAGTGGTTTGCCTGCCTGCCCCTGGGTGCCGCAGTGCCACCAGTGCCGTGGCAGCTTTGTTCTTATCCCAACATCCAGTGGAATTTCCCACTGGGCAGCTCAGCCTGAGTCCCCGTGTCCTGCATCCTCCCCAGCCACCCGGCACGTTCATCCCCTCTGCACCTCGCCCAGGCATCACTTCTCTTCTCTTTCGACTGCAAACTGCCCCGGGCCAGGCCCCTGTGCCGGCATTAGACCAGCCCCGGGGCTGGGCTGCAGCGGGACTTCTCCATAAAATCGCACTTCAGCGGGTGATAACAAGGGGCACCCGTGGGACACACCCCGCGGGGGGGTCAGAGGGAAATCCTGCGGGAAAGAAGGAAAGCAAGAGCTCCCGGAGGTGGTGGTGATGGCCGGGGGTGAATCAGTCCCCCCAAGGTTTGATGTCTCTGTGGCTGCAGACACAAGCGCTGCTTGTCCGGGGACAAACCCACCCCCCCGTGCAGCGTGTCCGCGGCTCTCTGCGGGGGCTGGCGGGTTGGGGGGGACAGCAAAGAGCTGTGCCGCACGGGCTCAGCCAATATTTCACCCCAAATATATCTAGAGTCTGTCCAGGCCCGTGTCTTTGCAGCTGCGGGAGGGAAGCAGCTGCTCCCTGCAGCCGTGAGTCTCAGCGCAAAGCAGCCCAGAAGCATCTCTGTCGGGGCTGGGGGCTGGGGGGCCTCTGCCCCAGGCCCCCCGGGCTCTGTCTGGCTGTGCTCCCACTCCCGCAAGAAGCCAGGTGAGCACGGGCAGGGTTACGGTTTTGCTGTAAATGAGAAGCGGTGGCTGCCAGCATGGGTTTGAAGTGCAGCGTTTATTTGAGTGGTGGCGGCTCGGCCTCTCCCGCGCTCTAAGCAGAGAGCAAACCCCGCGGCCGCCGTCCCGCGCCGTCCCTAGGCTACCGCAGCAAGCAGCTACCCCCGGCCGGCCGCCCCTCGCCCGGGACCCTCATGGCCAGCCCAGCAGCAGTGTCCCGGCCAGCGCGGTGACCAGCAGGCTGGGCAGGTTCAGTGGCCGGGGCCTCCCGCCGGAGCCACGCAGTGACTTGTTGCAGTCGTCGCTGAAGCAGCATCTCACGGTGGCCCCGCCGGAGCCGCCGCGCCGTGCCTGGTCGCAGAAGGACTTGTAGGAGCAGGATTTAATGATGCTGTCTGCAAGGAAGGGCACAAGCAAGATGAGGGTCAGGTGCCCCCCAGCATCGGGGACTTCACTCCCCGTCTAAGCTGGGGGAGGACATGGAGCTGTGTCCCAGCATGTTGCGTCATGGGGGATAAAAACTGCCAATAACTAATCCGGGGGGGATAAAAGTGTCTCCCCCCACCCACGGGCCTTCCAGGAGAGCCGAGCAGCAGTCCAGTGGCTGAGGGATGGCCCATGGCCACAGCGCTCCGAGTCACTGTGGAGCGCATGGCGCAGCCCCGCTGTCAGTGGCCACGCGTGAGGCACGAACAGCCCGGGCTGTGGAGTGAACCCACAGGGAGTTGGGAACAGTCTCTGCCCCTCTTGCTGGCCATGAGCCGCAAGGTTGCACTGAGGGTGGTGAGGATTTCTGGCGGGTGGGAGCAGTGTGCCATGGAGAAGGACTTTCCTTATGCCAGGACAGGGCTGTGAGTGAACTCCGACCAGCATCGTGTTTCTGGGGACTAAAAACTTGGAAAAACCAGGTGGCTCATCCCTGCTTCATGGGGACAAAAGGCAGCCAGCTCCTGGTCTGCGCTGGCAGGTCCCCCGCTCCTCCTCACCCTCTGGTCACCCAGCACCCCCGGTCTCCCCCAGCCCAGGGACCTACTTGGCGCTGTGATGACGGAGCAGGCATCGGCGTACTGGGGGCAGCTGTGGGAGCCCTGCTTGTTGCAGTCGTCCTCGTTGGACGCAACACACTTGTGGCATTTCAGCGCTTTACCTGTGTGAAGACGGGGGGGAAGAGGAGGAGGAGTGAGAGCCGCAGCAACATCCTGGAGCCCCAAGTGCTGTTCACAGTCTGTGGGTCTCCACAGCCACTGGTGAACCCCAGCACAGGGCAAGGAGTCACGGTCAAGGGCTAGCCCTGCTCAGAGCCCAGCGGCTCGGCCGGCCGGGAATTGGCAAGGCCACAGCACGCCAGAGGCTTCAGCTGCGGGTCTGCCCTGGCCACGAAACACACGCAAAAAACATTCAAGTATGACTGAAAGCGATGAATCGGGCAGGCTATCTCTTCCGAGTCCTTGCTCTGCAAAAAATTCCTGCAGCTGAGATTCCTGCAGTTTCCTTTACAGTAAAAATAGGTAGAAATAATATTTAGAAAACACCCACCCTAGACCTTTGCCTCCTTGTGCCAGATTTCATTTTAATGAGTGTTTTTGGGGGAGAAGGGAGGATCCACCCAACTCGTGGAAGCAGGTGTGGTGCGTTTGTGTGTCTAAGCCCTGGCAGCTCCCCCATGCAAGGTTTTGTATAGAGCGATCACCCCGAAGGTGCTGCCCGGGGGGGACAGGCAGGGGCAGGCAGCGAGGGTGGGCAGGGGGGGGTTTGGGAAGGACGAGTCATCTCCAGAGTGTCAGATAAAAACCAGCCCCTGGCCTCCGTCGGCGCTCCGTGCGCCAGAGCTGGTCACCGGGGTAAGGGCTGTCTGACCCTTCGGGAGAGGGAAACGCACAACTGTCAGTTTAGGAACCAGCGGAGCAAATCTGAAAGTGTTATTATCATTTTATGACAGCGAGAGACTTTAAATAACAGCGCTGGTTTAAATATCTGCAGGCGAAGCACCTCCTCCTTCGAAAACCCAAGCCCGAAGGTCCTGCTCCTGCCCGAAATTAGGAGCCCTTGATTTTGATGGTGACAATTAAACCACCGCTGATGCTGGGGAAAAAATTTTATCTGCTTTGTTGGCTGAGCAGAGCCCTCTCGTGGCAAGCGGGGCCCAGCTCCTGGCCAGAGCTCCCTCCTGCATCTCCCGGGAAAGGAGAAAGCTCATGTCTTGGGCAAGCTGGAATTTCGTGGGGCCAAGCGCCCGTAACTCCCTGCCGTTAGCCCTCCCCGACCCCCCGCACGGCGGGACGGCTCGTCTCGCCCTTCTCCTTGGCGCGTCTCTGCAGGTACAGCCGCCCGTTTCCCACCAGCCAAAACCAGCCCAGGGTTCTTCCTCCCTTGGCACAAAGACCCTGGAGCCGGCCCGGCCCAGCCACACTCCTTGGCACAACCACCTTCCCACCTCTTAAGACGGATTTTCGTGATTTTGCCTTTGTGGAACCAAGTTTTAGCTGGGAAACACTGCCGTAAGGATGAGAAGCTGCTGTTCTTTGGCTTGGGTACCTCCTCGGCTGGGCGAGGGGCAGGGTGCTCCTCGGGGGAGAAAGCTGCTGTCCCCCCAGAATGCCGTTTTTCTGCAGGGATGGGAGCAGCGCCGGGCAGTGCCACGCCGGGTGCGGGCAAGCCTGCGGGCGGGCAGCAGGGACGGGACAGCCAGCAAGCAAAAGAGCAGCAACAGCGATTCCCCCCACCCAGCACCGCCTTGAGCTACGGGACACTTACTTTCTCCGGCCAGGGATGTGAGGATGGCCAGGGCCAGGAGGGTCTTCAGGGTGGACATTTTCCGCAGTGTGCAGCACCGGGCACGTAGCCTCTGTTTTGTCTTAAGGTCTTACAGCTAATCTGCTTGGGCGATTGGGTCACCGGGCTGGGGATAACACTAACTGCAGCCCCTGGCTAATGCCATCTTAGCAGGAGAGGACGAGACGTGGGTCCCCAAGGGCACGGGCTGGCCCGGGGCATGCGAGCGGGGCAGAGCACTGGCCCAGTGCCGGTGGAGGTGGCCAGACTGGCCCATGCTTGCCGAGTTGGGCTCTGCTCCACGTCCCACCGGTGCCTGCTCTGGGAACCCTCTCCATGTACACACACGGTACCTTGTGGTGGCTTTCAGAGATCTTGACCAAGCCCATCTGCGCCATCCAGAGAATAGCCCCTTCCTTGCTGTCTGCAGCAGTCAAGCTGGGGCAGAACCCCCCAAAGTTTCCAACCCACCATAAGAGAGAACGACTGGAAACCTCAGGGGGGCCGGGAGCCCAGCAGAGCGCTCCCGGGGCTGGGCACTCTCCGTCCTTGCAGAGGGATTTACTCGAGGCCCTGAAAGGCATCAGGGACACCGCGGGGATTAAGCCCAGTCCCGCGGTCCTCAGCTCTTCCCCCCGGCCAAGCTCACCGGCGGCTGCACCACGGTCCCGCAAAACCTGCTGGGAGCGTCACTGCAGCATGGTGGGAGTCAAGGGGTCATCAGTCATCTCGAGTCTGAACTTCAGAGTTTACGAACGCGGGTCTCAGGAGCAGATGATAACGGTGCTTATTTGATACCAACTGCCTTATAAACCACATTAATAAAAGTGAGACAGAACACGGCCCTTCCTGGAAGATAAACCCAACTTCTCCAAACGCCCCTCACCGACCTGACAAACGCCAAGAAAGCTTTCAAGAGCGATAAACACAATTTTTATTCAGGCAATGAAACATGGAAAAAATATATTAGTAATCATTATAATAATCTCATTTGTGTGAGTATAACTCTTACAAATATTTACCTGACATATAAAAGGGAAATTATTGTACATATAAAATTGATGGCGATGGCAGTTACATACATCGGTATGGTACGAAGCGATGGGGGTAGTAGTCAGTGCAGAGGAAGTTCCTGCCTCTGGTGGGGGGAGGCTGGAGGGACGGGTGGAAGTGATTTGCAGTCGGGGTGGTCACTCGTTGGCACTTCATTGTAGACAGAGATCTGCTGGCAAACGCACACTTGCAAACAGCAACACGGGCGGCTGACAGGGACCCGCCACCGCCAGAGAGGGATATTGAGACTCTACGGCAAGAAAATGACGACGAACACAACCAGGCTGCGACTCCGACACACGGGTACCTGCTGTCTCCACCCCCGGCAGGCGCAGCGGGGCGGCGTCCCAACGCGTCGTCTTTGCCAGAGGGGTGCGGGGGCCTCAGCGCAGCCCCCCCGCCGCCGGGTCCCACTCTGCCCCCCGTGCCCTGGGGAGCTCCGGGCCGAGGCGGCCCCCGCCGAGCAGCACAC